AATGCCAACAGTTCGGGCATGGTGTAAATTCTTGCACATTGTCTGTTGTGTGTGCTCACCGTGGTAAAAATACACACGCAACAGAAGATTGTGCCAGTACTGTCAAAAAATGCACCAACCGTTCAGGGAATCACCAATCTTATTCTAAGGAATGTCCTGTTTGGAAACAGCAAATGGCAATTAATAGAATAAAGTTCACACAAATCATCAGCTTTGCAGATGTAAAGAGACAAGTCCTAAGCTCAGACAAAACTAAGTGATAGCGCCCCAAAAGGTCCAGAAAATAACATTCAAGTATACAACAAATATGGATCTCTTGAGGATATGGACGTTGTAGTAGGGTACACAGCTTGTCGCCCACCAACAAAGTGCGGGGTAGATCCCCAATAAATCCCCCCAAAAGATAGGTTATCAGAATAAAATTATACAGTGGAATTACATAGGGTTGAAGACTAATTTCAATGAATTGCAGCTTTTAGTCCAGGATTTAACACCATCAGCGTTCTGTCTGCAGGAGACCTATTTAAAACAGACAGATGCTTTTGTTCTGCGTTCTTTCAATGCATATCATTGTTTTTCACCTCCGGGTGGCAGAGGCACGTGAGGAACTTCCATCCTAGTCAAACAGAACGTTACCCATAGCCCTGTTTCACTAACTACTAATCTGCAGGCTGTTGCAGTGCGAATTACTTTACATGCTGCGTTTACATTATGTTCTGTATATATATCGCAGTCTTCAACGTTTCACAAAAACGATCTTCAAGCTCTATTTGACCAGCTGCCGAAACCATGTATTATCATGGGAGATTTCAATGGCCACAATCCACTCTGGGGTGGTGCAACTACATACGCTAAAGGTAAAGTGCTGGAGGAGTTTTGTTCAGATAATGATGTATGTATTCGTAATGACGGTTCCAACACATATTTGCACCATGGCTTAGGAACATATTCTGCTCTCGACTTGTCAGTCACAAATTCAGAACTACTAAATGAATTTGAATGGTCAGTCCATGATGACCTCTGTGGAAGTGACCATTTTCCAACTATACTAAAACCTGTAACTCCCTCTGATGTTTCTCCCTCGTCACGGCGGAAGTTTAAAAAGGCTTACTGGGCTCTATATGAAACACTGCGTGCTGCAAAGTTAAACCTGAATTTTTGCTTGACGTTCCTGATGCCATCAAATGTTTTTTTCCTCTGCAATTGCACATATTCGGAAACCTTGGTTCAACGATTAGTGCAAACAAGCTAGGAAAGCATGGAAAGAAGCAGATGCATAATTTAAATGCCTAAGTGCGAACGCCCATGTCCAAAGTATGGAACGTGGTACAGAACATTAAAGTAAAGGTACTAAATCTAGCGTCCATCATCTTAAACATGGAGATCAATTACTTACTGATAAATCAGATATTGCGAATAAACTGGGTGAAACTCTTGCTAAACACTCTTCCTCTTCTAATTATGTGCTTAAATTCCAACAATATCAAAAACAACAAGAAAAGGCACCTATTAACTTCAATTCAGATAGTGGGAAGACTATAATGAACTATTTTCTATTCATTAGCTCCATACTGCTCTTGAACAAGTTCACGATACTGCTACAGGGGCTGATAACATACATTATCAACTCCTGAAACACATACCAGAATCCTGTCTAGAAACTCTTTTAAATATTTTTGATGATATGGGGCCATCTAGTAACTCTCCTCCCTCATGGCGTGACGCTAAAGTAGTACCAATACCTAAACCTGGACGTGATCATACAGATCCGTCAAATTATAGACCTATTTCACTAACTAACTGTGTTTGCAAAACCATGGAACGCATGATAAATAATCGACTTGTTTGGTCCTTGGAAACAAATAACCTTACAACAGATATACAGTGTGGTTTCCATAAAAACAGAAGTACTGTCGATCACTTAGTTCATTTGGAATCATTTGTTTAAAACGCTCTAATTACTAAACAACACCCTGTGTCTATCATTTTTGATATTGAAAAGGCATCTGACACTATGTGGAAATATGGCATTTTAAGAGATTTACATGGCTTCGGATTGAGAGGCCATTTGCCTCAATTCATAGCCAACTTTTTAAATGACAGACAATTTCAATTCCGCGTGGGTTCTAGCCTGTCTGATCATTACAATCAGGATCAACGTGTCCCACAAGGCAGTATTTTGTCTGTGACTTTACTTAGTATCAAGATTAACAGTTTATCAAATCGATTTAATTGATGGATCATTATTTGTGGATGATTTTAATATTTCTTGTCGTGGGAAAAATATGCATCCTATTGAACGGCAACTGCAGTTGTGTTTCAACGGCTTTAAATTATCTAAATTAAAACTAATTGTATACATTTCTGCCGTAAAGACCAGAAGTAACTTTGAATGGCACTCCCATCAAAGTTGTCAAAGGAAGGCCAAGTTATCGGGTCTTAATTTTGACTACCATCTAACGTTTCTGCCGCATTTTAAATCCCTTAAAACTAAATGCCCGAAGGCACTTTATTTGTTTAAAGTCGATTCCAAGTCTAAGTTTGGAGGGGATCAAGCTACCCTCCTACACATGTATCGATCATTGGTCCGTTCCAAACTTGATTATGGCTCCATCATGGTGGAGCCTGCAAAAGCAACTTAAAGCTATTAGATTCTGTCCACCATCAAGGTCTCAGACGTTGTCTTGGTTCCTTTAGAACCTCTCCTGTTGACAGTCTAAACGCAGAGGAAGATGAACAATCTCTTACCCAACGCCGTATCAAATTACCATTACAAGATACAGTGTACTCTGTCAATACCGGCATCAGTTGGGACCGAATAAAAATGCCGGTTTTGACAGAGTGCCGGTTTAGCTAGGTTCGCTTAAGACGCCTGCGCACACGGAAATTCGCTGTCGTACTGTCACTTTAGCATTAACAAGATGTTTGAATAAGAAACAAGGCAGTGTCTGAATGCACATTCATGTTGATTCATTCAAATAAAAATGTCTGAAAACACTTATTAAATTTCAACTGATCATATATTATCGGCAGAATTATTAAACTATTTTTCGCAATGTTATTGAAAACAACGATTCTTGGACATATGCTTCGGCAGCGGGTCTACAATAACATTGTCAAAGAGCAAAGTAACGATGTTTCAAACATCGCGGAAATCATTATGGAACAAGTTTTTATGGATAACAACTTCTTTATTTCGTGAGTGCGACGTTTCGATACAGATTCTTGTACCGTTGTCAAGCAAGGGTGATACATGAAGTGAAGGAGCTGCATATTTATGCTGTGTATAACAATGAAACTACATACATTGTAATTGACAAAGGAAACAACATAATTGCCATAATTGGTTAAGCAGTAAGCTGATGAAGCCAGTGAGTACACAAAGGATAATGAATGGAAGCCACAGATGTATAAATACAGGAGTGGTACAATGAAGGAGATGTTTATACAATAGATTGGGCGGTGTAGAGGAGTTGATCATAAGCTGATGGAATGAAGTATCCTTGGTCACGGTTGATGGTGGGCTTATGGCGTTTAATGTGAATGGCTTCGGTGAGCTTGCGTTTAGTGAAGTCCGTTTGGTTGTTGGCGAGAATGGTGAAGTCGGACCACTCTCTTTGGTGATTGGGGTTTGCTTTGATGTGGTCAGAGATAGCTGATTTGGTGTCGGAATTAGCAACACAGGTGCGATGTTCTTTGACTCGGGTGTTGATGGGTCGGGATGTTTCACCTATGTCGCTGTGTCCACAATCACAGTTTATTTTATAAAGAACACATTTAGCAAACCCCAATCATCAAATCTCAAACTTCGTTCACAATTTGGAACAGCTGAATTTTTAACTCAACTGCATTTTTTAAATATAAAGCCCAAACAACTAAAGTAATCTATCCACCAAACTCAAATTATTTTCTATAGTTTGAGCTTAATACCGATTTCAGTTCATTCTGTGAAATGACTGTTCCTGCGTTTTCTCAAATTTGAGTAAAAACTTGAACTTAAGTCAAAACTCAGATTTAAGTTTGTTTCGAGAAATCGGGGCCAGATCTAATATCCGTAATGTGATGCAGAAGAAGTGGGAGGTATAAATACATTACAAGAAACAAAACCCCATATTGGTTACACCTACTTGGGTTCTCAGTACAGATTTGAAGAGGTTCTCATGAGACGATCTCGTATTGGCCACACAAGATATACTCATACAAGGTGATGATCCTCCGTTTTGCATCGCTTGTGATGAGACAATCACGGAGAGCAGATGTTGAATAAATGTTTCGTAGGAATGTCATTAGGTTGGACTGGAAGATTGTTAGAGATTCTGCTTCTTTCAGATGAATGGAACTCATCCCATAGAACTGCAGTATCTTAGGCAATATCCTTAGCGCATACCGTTTGAGTTTTGTCTTTCGTATAGCAAGGGGGTAGGTTTCGACATAACAGAGGATCTAGGTGTGTGTTATACCTTAATAAAGTAAGATAATGTATGTGCTGGCAGAGGCAGGTTGAGTTCCATTTTCAACACGCCGGGACTCTGGATATCTGCTCTTTAGAGATATTAAACATTAATAAAGTAATCGTGTCTCTTGACCACAAGCATAGAATCAGAAGAGGGTGTTTGGTCCGATATTTCTAAGGTGGAAAAGCTTCACGACGACCATTAAATAATCGATTCCGTCCCAATCAGCCTGCCTTGGTTCAGTCTAATTACAAGACTGCCTGACCCATACTCGACAATCTTCAAACCGTTAAAAAATATTGTAATAGTGCTGAGAACGACGTTTCGCAAGAAACATTCAAACAAATTCAATTCAAGTTTGACAGTTCAACTGAGTTGGAAGACGGAGTGAAGTATCTCGTGAGTATTCCTGCAGCCAAACTGTCATTGTAGATATTCACCATTGTCACCATGCGCATCCTACGGAAATAGAAAATATATATATATGATATGATATATGGTTTAAATATGTTACACATCATACTTTAAAGGTAACCATTGTCATACTCACATGAACCAATCCACAGCCAGTACGATATAAGCATCTTCGACCGGCAAACCCACGGCAGCAACCACAACCAACATGGTAATGAAACCTGTCCCAGGGACTCCTGCAGCACCGATACTTGACAGAGTTGCAGACAGGCTGGGAAGATATGGTCGAGAGAAATATAAGGTTTAGGTTTTGAAGAAATACATCACATCGTGAATGGCCACAATGGATGATGTGCCATCACTAAACCCGATCCGATCAATATGCCAAAGTGATTCGTAGATTATGAAACAGGAACAGCGAACCAAAATTGTTGATGATTGAACCCACTCATGACCTCCCAGATCACCGACGAGAGCATAAAATCATGATAGGATTTACGGGTCATCGCCTGCAAGCATATCCTGACCATGCATGCTTGTTGCCGTCCCTTCGAGATCGTTACATTAGCAGCAAATCAAATAGTTTACACAATGTCAAATCATGGCCAATGCTGGTGTGGGGGACGTTATTTTGGAGCATGTTACATGAAAGCTCGTCTCATGGAACAATGAGCCCCGACGTTTTATTCTGTGAACATGTCTGGAGAATAATAGAGGAGAACATGCATTAACGTTAAACGTTGTTTGCTGAAATTGGCCAGGCGCCGCAAGAAAATTGAGACAAAATCCCTACAATCGCCATGCTGACTGGACGAATGCTTCCCATTTTACCCCGCCACATATACAGATATTTGGTGGTTATACTGTCATACTTCCTTACAGGTTGTAACGTGTTCCGAATAGGGGAATTAATATCGTACAACCTATTTTACAATGTGGGACGTTTTCTGTATTTCCGTCAATCACCTCCTTTTAGAAGAGTACATGCTAATGGTAGAAATAAAGGTTGAACGCCAACTGCAGAACTGGACGATAATTATAAAGGGTAAATAGTTTTATTCCTGACCATTCCAATTGTAATCGCAACTGATAATTTATGTTAAACACTTTCATTATGACAAAGCTACTATACACATATAGTATCAAAACACTTTGATAGACATACTGCAGTTCCCTGTAGGTTAATATCAGTGTGATCCACGGGTATTAGGAAGAACCTCAGCTTGAAATCTCGTTAATGTTTCATATTATATAATATTGGATGTCGACCCTCAGGGATTGGTCTTACCTGATAGCGACTAAATCTGCAAATGTGAGTATCCTGTGGTTCATCTGGGCCAGGAAGATCGGTGTCAGAGCCTGAATTATGGCCAAACCATCCATATTGATTGTTGCGCCTATAGGTAACACAAAGCGACAGATGGTTTTGTTGAATTTCATCTTCTCTTCACAGAGGCGTAAGGTAACAGGAAGGGCTGCTGCGCTAAAACAGAAAATCATGGCACTGTGTCAGGAATGGCATGTCGCTGGACCGCATGTCTCCTATTCAATATCGCAGGACAGTTATGTCATCAGCACTTGCATGAAACAAACACATAACACCATTTCAAAGAAAAAAGGAAGGAACTCGGGGAGAAACTGCACATCAACCCAACAACAACTTTCGGCGTACAGTTTTCCCAAAAGTTATTTCGAAAATCTTTGTTTCCTAATACTGCTAATAGATTTTTAAATAGGTGGTACATTATGTAGTAAGGCACTCAATACGGGAGGTAACTCTTGCAGGCTTGAGAATGAACCTTACTACATCAGGAGTTATCTCCCCTGGTGTAGCAGACGGCTTCCTTTGTTGATTTGATAGCAGAAGAGAAAAGAAAGCTGATTCTAGATGATTTTGAAAGGGGTGTGAATAATTCAAAAGCGTTACATGACATGACATGCCTCTGTCTACAGTATACATTACTTTGAAGAATATTCAGTCAGGATTTGGGATTGATAACAAGAGGGAGGCCACGGAAGTTCAGTACTAAGGATCGCCGTGGGTACGGAAAATGAAAAGCGTTGAGAATATCAGAAATGACATGATTGACAGAGGAAGTCCTCAGGCATGTAATGAAACCATTAGACAAGAATTACAAAGACTTAAGTGGGTGAAAAAGCGCGGAATTCCCTCACCACTGATGAACGATGCACAAAAAGAAAGACGTTTAAACTGTGTAGGGCTCACGAAATCAAGACTGAGAAAATGTTTTCTTTTCTGATGAAAGCTTTGTCTGGCTTTTTCCCGAACTGTGTGGAAATTTGGACAAATGATACCGTGAAACCTATCTACCAACGCCGAAACCATAGACCGAATTTCATATGTCGGTTGGGATATCATCACGCCGTTTTGTATTTTCACTGGACATTTGATGAAGGAACGAGGTGCTGACATCTTAAATGGTCACCTACATCCAATGGCCCGAACACACTGTTTGAAGATATTTTCCACGACCCAAAGCACACTGCGGACTACACAAAACAGTGGTTGTCCCACAAAAATGTTTAACTTTTAGACTGGCCCACCTGCAACCCAGATCTTAACCCTTATGAAAATGTGTGGGGACTAATGGAGGACAGAATAAACCAAAAGGACTTAGAAATACTGAGGATATGAGGAATGAAGTTCTTGAATATTGGGATACGCTGTCGCACGATTTCCTACAAACTTGGATCGAGAGTGTACCTAGGCGCATTCAGTCGGGTATTGCTTGAGCAAGGTCCCACAAAGTACTGAAACGACACTTAGACTGTAAGAGCATCATATCTCAACATATTCATTTAACCAAACTTCTATGGTTTATATGCATCTATTATTTATTGGAGGAAACAACTTTCTCAATAATTTCTGAGAATACTATATCTGTGGGCTAGGCCATCAGACAATGATTACACATGTCTTGAGATATGTTTGCACTGAATAACCCACGAACGCTTTAAAACACTGTGTTAGATAGGCTGTGGAGAAGAATAGAATCATAGGCCGTCAACATCTTCCAATCCTATCCTCGGTGTGCATGCATTCCCTAAATAACTTTAAAAGCCACCGATGAAGGGATGGATATGCTGCCAATACACCTCCTTCTGAAACTCAGTCATAGCGTACTTCGTTTAATACAAATAGAAATATAATCAACGCTTGATCTGTCTGAGACCACACTGTTGACAAGAATTCGCCCAACAAACAACAATGTTTGCACCTGGAACTTGTACCCAGACCAGTCAGAAGAGACTCTATCAGACCAAGGGACACGCGGAAAGGATTTTGCCTGGTCAGTATGAAGTAGATCGCCGGCAGCACGACCAGAGCATGGATGGCCAAACCAATGAGACCGGTGACCATGTACATCGCTAGTTGTTGAGCTGCTGTTTCCAGGTCCCGTACTTCAAGAATCTTATTCATGATGATGAACAGTATACCTATAGGATTGTACCTGAAAGAATGACAAAGCAGAGCACATGTGATGTTTACACACGCATGGCAAGGAACAGCACAGGTAGTGTTTATACACACATGACAAGACAGAACACATATAGTGTTTACGCACGCATGACGAGACAGAGGGCATGTAGTGTTTACACACGCATGACAAGACAGAGCACATGTAGTGTTTACACACGCATGACAAGACAGAGCACATGTAGTGTTTACACACGCATGACAAGAGAGAGGGCATGTAGTGTTTACACACTCATGACAAGACAGAGCACATGTAGTGTTTACACACGCATGACAAGACAGAGGGCATGTAGTGTTTACACACGCATGACAAGACAGAGGGCATGTTGTGTTTACACACGCATGACAAGACAGAGGGCATGTAATGTTTACACACTCATAACAAAGCACAGCAAATTGCGTGTTTACACACGCATGCCAATGCAGAGCACATGTAGCATATTAAGGCAACAATTTCCTATATGGATGACTCAGCTATGTTTATATTGCTTTCATAAAAATGCTTCATTTACCTTCGATGGTCAGAGTTTTCTCTGGTCTGATGGTTTCACTTTGACCTTGCTCACAAGGTTCAGTGTGGGTTCCTTTTGTATTCCTTATCATATACGTAGATGCCCTATGATTTCATATTGCTTTAGGGCAATTTCATTGTAAATGCTAGTTTTAAAGGTAGATATGCGTTTATTAATGAAGACGGTTCGCCCACGGTCCATATATTCTATTAAAAACAATTATAGTTGTTTTTGAAATGTTGGCAAAGTGTCATAATCACCACATAACCAGTTTTGTCATGTTCATGGTTATTTGATTCAGAATGTTGAAGAGGTCCACCATCACACGGCCAGATTCGCCCATGTTGTTCAGCATCACACCAAACACCGCGAAGAACAGCAGGATTCCTACAGATACACATAATACACATCCTAGAATTCCCAGAGGAATGTCTTAGTGTTACAGAAGTATGCTTATGAAAAGAACCATGTTATGTGAAGTTATTATTTTAAGATAATGACGAGATTATTCATGTCTACGTGGAGTGATGTGTGAAGCCCATTTCTCGTGTCCCCTGCCGTGATGTATGCGGCGTAAAACTTAACTCACTCACACTCACGCATATGGCATTTTATTGACATTTTAGCCAATATTACCAAATAGTGAAGATACGGTGTATACATACACTACTTCAGTTAAACATGGTTCTTTCCATATTGTCAGAAAGTCAATATCTGAAGGAGTTCATATTGTTGACCTTCATTAGCAAGACATATGTCTTTCGTTTTGAGGATGTTAGATACGGTCTCTTGCTTACCTATGACATTCATTCCGTCCAGGTAGGTCACGGATCTCTGCCAAATGTGTCCACCATGCTCGAAGTAATTGGGACTGTGATTAGTAAGTGATGCCGATGTTTCTGTTGTGTTCAGAGGCTCAGCCATGTATTTGGTGAATGTTGTCTTCGAGTGCTGGAATGAGGCTTGCATGACGTTTTCGGGAATGATGTTTCTAATAAAAAACAAACCTATTTATTTGTGACATCATGCATATGCTTACACCTGGCAATCCTGCTGGGAACCAAGTAGGTAGCTATAGCAGATGTGCTGTGCCCCACAAAGGTCCCAAGTAGGATGGAGAATCTCTTGCAAATGGTAGGTGGATCACCATTGAAAAAGAAATATTTATATCTACGTTTTGGGATATATTTTACATTAAATCCTAGATGTGAATACAGCTCTGTAACAGGAAAACGTGTGATACGATGCATCAACACAGCAGTAATCAGTTTTTGGTCGTCAAACTCAATGTGCAATAGAAAAGAATCACCCAATGTAAACCAACGCGAGCCTCACTGGTGTCAGCTCTATTCCCGTGTGCAAATTGAACAACGTTCTGACTGCTAAACGATTACTTCCGAATCATGATGAATGTTATGAACTTTTTTCCTTGAAGTAGCGAAATAGATTAACCAATCTGTTTGATCTACGCAGCGGGGATACCCAGTGGGAAGTCTGACCACCATATACCGTTACTGTTGCGACAAGCATTGGTTGCTTGTTCAATTCAAACCAGAATGCACTGCCGATATCACGTTAAATATTAACTCACTCACTCACTCTAACCAGACTGAAACCAGGTGAAGCCGTATTCCGGTTGTGACAAACTTGCACCTGGGCACTGCTACCCTCTTTTTACCGTAACTTCACGCGTTACCTGGAGAGGTCGGTTTAAGAATTTAACTGTGTCGTCAACTTGTTTGAAAGAAAATATATTCATGCTCTTTCAGAGCAACCGCCCTTAAGGATATGTCCTTTTGAAAGAAATATACAAATAAAAACAAAACACTCACCAAGCTTGTTTTCAGAATGTTATATCAACCCAGATAAAAATTCAGAAAACAAAATGAATATTCATTCGTTTCCATTAGTCGATCAATATTTCCGCTCATATAAATTTCACCACGTTTCGCCTCATATATACTCTCGTATTTTGCGAACTCATTAAGGAACTTGGTGGACAAAGCACGGTACACCATTGTGGTGCCGGTTTTCCCTTCATAATTTTCACATTTCTTCCCCACTGTTTTAGTAATTATGGCTTACATTATACAATCACCAGACGAACAGACAACTAAACGGGTTAAGATAAAGAGGAATGGTTGTATTATAATGGTTGATCAGTTGTTTGTATAAAGTGAGGTGGCGGTGAGGTAGCCCAGAGGTCAAAGCGTTTGCTCGTCACGCCGAAGACGTTCGAGTCCCCACATGGGTTTACTGTGTGAAACGCATTTCTGGTGTCCCCCGCCGTGATATTGCTGAAATATTGCTAAAAGCGGCATAAAACCCAACCCAACTCACTCACTCACTCACTCACTATAAAAAGTGAGATTATGACAAAGTAATAAAGGAAGACTCACCTCAACAGGTCCAATATGGCGTCCGTCGTCTCGGGTAACGGTTCGTCATGGATCGCTATGGAACTTGAATTAGATTTCATAACCTGCCCTGGTCGTACAATGAGCGCGAGTCCGATTCCGAGGACAGTGGCGAGGACAGTTGTGCAAATATAATAAGTCAGCGCCATGATCCCTAACTTACCACGTGACTGGTTCAAATTTGCCACACCTGTGCAAGAGAGGTCAGATGGCAGACATTACTGAAAGACATTATACAATGCGTACCGACAGATTGCTTTTAGTAGATTTCATGCATCAAACCAAACCAGGCAGTCACTTATTCCTTTTGGCATTACATGCTGAAAGTCTTTTAAAACGCAATGTGACATTCATACTTTCTTTACTCACAAATGTCACCATATATGAATGTAACTGGCAGATATGTTTGAAGTGAACATATGTAGATAATTTCATCCTAAAATTTCTGATCAACAACAAGATCAGTGACGCAACAACGACATCAAACAAAGAAGGGGTCACTTGCAGTCAATATCGTGTGTGTCCACCGTGCGCTGCAAGACATGCTCGCAGTCTTTGGGGCATTGAGAGACACAAATTTCTCGAGAACAGCTGCGGCATGGTCTGATAGTGATGTTGAAGGGTCTGTGTCAATTCAGCAACTGTCCTTGGTGGCACAAGTTGATTTCGAACTCCACGTCCAAGTTCATCCAACAGATGCTCGATTTGGTTCATGTTTGGGGACAACAAAGGCCAGTCCATCACACGAACATTCTCATTATTCAAAAAAGTTCCTTGTTACCCGGCTGCACGGGGACGTCCATTATTATGCTGAAACACAAAACGGTTACGACCGCCATGTTGATCCATCATTGTGACTACAGCAAGACGAAGGATGTTGTCCACATGACGTTGAGCAATTAGACTGCCGTTAATCACTACCATCTTGGATCGGAAGTTGGCATTGATAGAACACCAGTTCATAACAACATCCCTTCCAAAACGATCATTTTCAAGGACACAGTTTGGCGTAAGTCTTTCTCCTCGACGTCGATAAATCCATTGACGTCCATCTTCAAAGGATACGTTAAACCTAGATTCATCTTAAAAAAAAAGACATCTCGCCATGGCCTGTTGCCAAGATATGCGCTGTTAGCTGCCCATTGCTGTCTGGCAAGTCTGTGGCGATGCAACGACATCGGATGTTAATGCAGCAAGGCGTCTTCGCACCGTTTGGGCGCTGAATTGACGTTGTCTTGTCCCAATTGTACTCCTTGCCGTATCAGCAGCTGTTGGGAGCCGACTTAGCAAGTTTGAAACTCGGATATTGCGGTCCTGTCAAGCTGTCGTCACAGGTGGTGCACCAGGACGAGGACGATCAGCAATACTTCCGGTGGCCCCAAAAAGTTGTCTGAGTCGATCAACAGTGGATGGATGCACATCAAAGCGCCTGTCAATCATCACATCTGAAGCACCTTGGCTGACCATACCGATAGCCTGATTCCTTTCATCTTGTGTCAAGCGTGGCATTTTCTCAAAGTGATTGAGTTTCACAATCCCTTGTGCTTTTAAAGGGCCTGAGAGCAAGTAATGCACATGCACAACGTGTTTCATGAATGTGGTTCTGTATACGCGGAATGTCAAAGATTCAGTTTTAAGCATTGAAGTTCATGTGAGAGGAATGCTCGGGAACTCCAAATCGTGGGAGATATCTGTTATAGTTCACTAAGCACATGTTACATTTGTATATACCTGACATTGAATTGCCTAAGGGTAGTACTGACCTGAGACCATGCTTGAGGTAACGAGAGGCAGCAATAAAAGCTTGAACATGCGCATGAGCACTTCCCCCGGGACACCAATAAGACTGACTGTCTCAGGAGTTGGTTTAAGCCGACGAGTCAGCATTCCCAGAATCACTCCAAGACTCACTGACATGATGGTGGCGATCAAAAGCATGTTCGTTTTCAGGCCATTTCGGAGCTGAAAATACCGACACACAGTCATGGTAAAATTTATCCGGTGCTATTCCATTAATGAAAGTCGCTTTGGCGAATGAAGATGACATGGAATGGTTCTGGAGTCCCAAGGCATTACTTTTCCCCAAAAATGTTATTGAAGGATGTAGGGAAGAAGTACAGAAAAACACATACCACCGAACATACCCACTGCCATACTCATACCTGGGCACAGGTTAACACAACGCATTTAGAAAGAACCAAACAGTTATGGAGACGTTAAAAATATATTACCTTTCTTTTCCAGTTCGACATGGTGTTACCTGCACTCTTGTCTTGCATCAGAGTGATGTCTTCTGTGCTCGTTGTTTGATCCATTTAGAAAGGTTGTATCTACCTTTCAAAGAAATTTGGATAAATGAATCTTATTCTAACACAGTTATGCTTTCTTGTGTATTATACAATATTGTTGAAACATATCGTAGTGTAACTCAGCTAACACGACTAAATATTCTAGTGCTCGAAAGAAAGTATGCAGTGTGTTTTACCTAACTTGAAAAGAAAAGAAAAAGCATATAAATGAACATCTGTTTAATTTCATTAGAGTATTTAATTCTACAGTTTCATTTCAAAAGTACCGTTTGACTCATACTGGAAGACGCGTAGTATCATAGTATGAAGTTTTACACAAATCAACAAGACCCTCTTCATCGACGCCACGTTCAATTGTTTAATGACCACGAAATGCAGAAACAATGGTTGCCAGGCAAAAGTGATATGTGCACATGTTCACATGTGATATATATGACACTGGCTATGTTTCACCATATGGGTAATAAATTCCAGTATCACCCAGTGCTGCTTCTGTTGGTATACATAGGAAACAAGTCGGCCCTTAACGTGGAGACCAATTATGTGTGACGGTTTGACATAAAAATGAATTATTCAGTAAATATCAATTCTGTAATTTTATGACTGTATCACGCTGCACTGCCAATATGGCCACGCCTCGCTTGTTTCCACTGATGCCGAAATATGCAATTAAGAAACTATTATGAAGTACCATTGTGTACTGATCATGAACATAATCAGTGAACATACAGGGTAGATAAGGGCAGATGAATGAGCTACATGTTGTTCCAGTTTATGGAAAATTCGCTCGTTACTGAATAAGACAAGTGTGATATTACAAGCAGTGAAGGTACTTTTGGTGTTTCCAGACAGGCCACTTGTGATTTATGGGCACGTTACAACTTTGCTGAAAGTGTTATTGACACGCCAGAAGTAAAACATACATACGGGTGAGGCATCTCTGAAATCAACAACAGAAGTACCACAGCCCCAATAACAGTAACACAACAGTTTCAGCATGGTGGTAGGATGGCGCTTGCGCGTGTGGCCCATGCTATGTCGCTCATGAGACGCCAAAGGTGATCATGCAGAACCACACCATTCCGCGCATGATTGTCAGCAGTGGACTGTCATGGCATGACCATTCCCAACGGAATGTTGCGCGCATTTGTCAGGGAGATTCTGCAGCGCCACAAATTTACATCTTACCTTAGCCGGGATGCAGTGGTTCAGCCAGAAGAATAATAAACCATAGACTCTTCAAATGGTCGTTGCCCTGCAGCAAAAGTGGCAGAACATATATATTCCGCATATTTTCTAATTTATTTAGCATTACTCTCTTTGCATGTGCATTAAACCGGGTTAGATTTGTTATGTCTTCAGTTTGTTTGGTTTATGGGTATTTCTAACATATATCACATTGCAAATTATCGGAGAAGAACCTATAATCCAAAAGTTCTCTATAAGCAGGGATATCAACAAAAAGATATATTCGTAGAAGAGAATAGTTATCAATACTCACAGCCTTCGTCACTTGATACCCGAATGTCACGATAAATATTCACTTACGCGGAATAAGGTATATTAGTAATCCTTACCTTCAGAATATCGCGGACGGAATGGTATCTGATGCGGTTTAATTTGAGAACCTAATGATCAGAAGCCATCCAGATGGATTTATGTGCATCAACATGTTTGAATGCCCTTCATTGGATGATTATTCTCAGCCTAACAAAACAGCTTGCCATATCAGAGCCATGACTATGTAATGCTGTAATAAAGATAAATTATTGCTAAATTTTTGCGTGTATTGAATAATGCATGTACAGTTCAAATGCTGTGAATTTTACCCATTCTCTTGTCTGTTCCATCTGATCACCCATAGCTAAAACAGTTACAGTTAGCTCTTACAGTTAGCATGGTCAATGGCAATTATCAACGATTACCGGGTCACTTTAATGTCTCAAGTATTATGGTTATGTATTGAATCCAATTGAAAACTGCAGCAATGGAAATATTAGACTTAAATCGCGCAAATCGTGTTGAGATTATTATTAATGTCCTTAGCAGGGCGCAGAACTACTGCTCCTACCTCCAACAATAACAGCTGGTTTAAAGTACATGATGGCTCATCATATATACTGAACCACAAAAGAAATGTCGTACCGATAGCGGTTTCGTAAAGCACACACCCTTATTAACCGTAATTAACAATCAAAATGGAGAATTGAGTTCAGTCTTGACAATTATGGCCAACACATCTTTGGGAATCACATGTAGAGTTCACATAAACAAAATCACCAAAAATGGTACCATTAAGATTCCCCAAAGTCTGTATAGTATGTGGCCTCCAGGGCATCGATGAAAGCGTTGCATCGTCTTTACATGGAATGAATTACCCGGTTGATGAAGGCCATAGGCACTTGGACCCATACTCAGTGAAATGCCTGATCGAGCCCATCTGCAGTTGTCGACCTTAGTTGGAGGTCATTCAGTCTTCTTTGAATCTCATCCTAAAGGTGTTCTATTGGACTCAAATCCAGACTGAGAGCAGGCTATTGTCTGGTTTGGATGCCATTGTTGTCTTAGGAGGTCCAGTGTTGCTCTCGCAGTGTGGGCACGAGCGTTATCTTGATAGAAGATGTGATTTCTGTAACGTCCAAAATGTGGTTCAACGTGGGGTCCTATGATTTGGTCTATGTAGCGAGCATCTGTCACGACATTTCCTCATCCTGGACAGAGATTCTAGAACAACACGTTGCCAGCTTTCAGGTTGCATCCCACACCATGATGTTTGGACCACCCCACGACAATACACTCTTGGAAAACAGTTCCTCACGCTTTCACCAAACTCTCACTGTGCCATCGAATATCGAAACACAGTATCGGCTTTCATGAGAAAAAAGCACAGTTCACCATTGTCGATAATGCTAATATCGATGCTGAGATGCCCATTGCAGTCGCATTTTGTGGTGATGAGCGGTGAGGACAGGACTACGTCAAGAAACATGATGGGTCTGTTGTGAGTCCAAATGGTCTGCCGTGCTGTTTCTGTTGCTTTAAGGAAGCGATCTTGCAGATCTGTCGGCCTTGACATTGTGATGTTACTGTAGGTCGCCCCCTGCTCAAAGTCACCTGATACCAGTCGATAATTTGTCCTAGCATAAACATTAAAAAGGATTGGCTACTCTCTGTTCAGTATGGCCAACTTGCAATCGTCCAAAGACTTGAGTCATGCTATGGCGATTGTGTCAAAACAAAAAATGATTTCAGGTGAGTTTGGGACACATTCATTTCATTCTTAGGGTTGTCACGATATGCACGTGCATTTTCATTTTCTTGAATGTCATAGGGAACCTTTAACCACGTCTGCCTTTTTATATGTGCGTTTGGTCGATATGCTTTTGTATTAGAAAACACACTGATGTTGGTAATAACTTTAAATTTGGATTGAAACACATGTTAACAAAGGATACAATCATTATTAAAACACCACTTTGTAATAACAAAATCTTGCACTGGTTTTGAAAGGCGACGTTTCTGTTGTGGTTCAGTATATCACGGACTCTTCTTCGCCAATTCAATGCACGTTCGAGGTCAATATGATGAAAGGTACTGATGTAATGAGACAAGGTTACTATAACTGTGTATTCAAGCAGGAACGGATACAAACTGTTTCAACTGGCAACCATATAACAACGGAGTGTGACCTCCTAAAATTATTTGACTTATTAATGTGATGAGTGATGTCACAATGGAAATGTTGGTTTACAATGTGGTGCCACAGTGACAGATTCACAATTTTCTCGAGGATTCGCGAAAATTAAATTGTTCTGAATTTAACCATACGTTTTAGTGCACAAGCTGCCACTCTTGTAGAAATCCCAACTCTGGCGAGACGGATTTAACGTTGTAAAAAGAGTGAGAAAGTGGGTAAAAATGTTATGGTCAGCAAGACATCCCAAGAACGGTTCACTGAATTTTCTTCATAGACATTCAGGACTTCTCTTGAATGTTTTTGATAAGCAATTTCTTTATTTCTATTTTGCATATATCATACACCATGACATTCATGTCATGGTCAAAGCGATTCTTGAAAAAAATGTGTGTTTAAACAACTACAGAGCAAGATATCATGTATCATGTCAGTGTATGAAATAATGCCCGTCCGACCGCCCGAGACGGTCTAGATTTACAGCTAGCCAGCCCGATGATCTGGTTAAACTTTTAGATGTTCAATACATATCTTGGTGTCTGGTCTGGTTAAATCCATTTTGAAGTTACCAGCCCTGATGTCTGGCTGTGTTTTGGCTTATTTCATACACTGATCATGTACGCATGTACAGCCAACACTTTATATTCAAAATACACATCTGAAATATTGGTAGGAATATATTCTGTGAAGGAGTGAGTGAGTGAGTTAAAATTTAACGTCACATCGGCAATATTTCAGCCATATCGTGACGAGAACAATCAATCTTCTACATAGTAAGTAATGATAAACTGTAAAACCTGTCAACGAAGGACAGTAAAATAACTAGATAATCACAGATTCGAAATTAAAACTAGTAATTAACTCTAAAACATTTTAACTATAGGGGACAACACAATATAAAAATGGGCTATAGATCGCTAACAACTGAAGGTAGATCACCATACTAGGGACCATGGGGA